GTGGACCTTAAGTCTGTTTTGCCGTCTATTTCGATCTGAATGAGCATTGTACCGGCGCACAGTTGAGTGTCACCACTGTGTGTCGTGCGTTAAAAACCCCAAGGCTAGGGGTGGGTACTGCACTGGCTAAATTTCTCATCTACAGCAGTGACACCAGATGCCATTGGGGCTGACTATAGTTCCTGCTGTCTAAGCAAATTCACAACACAATTCTCTTTAAATCGGTCTTAGCAGTCTATGCTTTCATACTTGGCTTAGATTTGTTTTGTGATCCATTAGTTCAGCAGGGCTGTCCCGAACAATTTATATTTGCGAGTCCTGCGTTTGTCATGGTCACTGAAGTTTGAGAGTTTTGACCAAGCTCCTCCTTGTTGCATGAACTTGATGCCCTCTTAAGCTGTGCAAAATGAGCCAATCATAAAAATTCAACATTTTAGACTAAATGCTGATCATTGTGTTTGGGAATTTAATGGGGTGAAACTTGCAATTCTAGAAAGAGGGAACTATTCAAAGAAAAAACATTTTGTGTAACATGCCCTAGTAAACAATCTACTACTTTTCTTCCCAGGTGCAAGATGTCCACCGTTCAGTGCAGCCAGCAACATAAAATGGAGCCTACATGCCTCTGTTAAAAGCTTGCCTTGCCCATTGTGACCATACCATTGTGCACATCATCTGTTAGATTGATATGTCTACTGCAATATGCCGAGACAAAAACAAGGCAGCTTGTGTTACTGTAACTTTTAGTACATATTAAAGAAAAGAGACTAGCGTGTACATTTTACTGTGAAAATTTACCTCTAAAGTTTATGGTACACAATAGACCTTATTCAGAATTCTGTGTCATATTTCGGAAGGTGCGCCAATGTCTTTCCGTAGCCTCAAACATGGCATCCCATGTTTGAGGCTACAGGCAGAGCGCTGCTCTGAAAGTGATGCCACCCTACTGCTGTGTCTTGCTGTGTGTAGCCAACAGGGAAATAAGAAACTGACAGAAATAAATTTTCGAATTCCATTGTTTTTCTTTTAATAGCAAATCTTGGAAGGATTGTAGTGTTTTAGTGGGATTATCCAGGTTGCAAAATGAGAGCCCACACTGTCATGCTTCTACCATGGGCTCTGTCAAATCCTCTTGATATATGTATATATATGGTGCCCCCCTCTACCTTTTTAAGGGCTGTTCAAGTGTGGTTCACACATTTGCATCGGTAACCTTTTTTTGTTCTTGTCACTTTTTTTTTGTAATTGCTAATATGAGTAATATAGTCAAGTACATTAGTGGACTATCCAGCTTAAAATCTTGTATGTGCTAGGAAACAGCCAAAAGGTTTCTTTCTCAAGTTGTTTGAGGCTTTGGTAGAGTCGTCGAATATGAGCATTAAAAGTTTACATAAACTTAGAGGTACTTCTTTTTTTTTTGTTTTGTTTAACAAACATTAACAAATGTTTGTTAAAAGGGTTTCGTCCTTCATTAGTAATAAATCTGCTGGCTAAATAATACCGTCAGTGCGAAAAGACGATTGAGAAGGATCCGCGGTTTTGGGCGATACATATATGTTCATTGGGGAGTGCTTATGGGGGCTGGCAGGTTTGCATGGTTTGCACGCAAAGAGAGCATTCTCAAGACATTTGTCTTGAGACGTCAAAAAAGCCGCTTTTCGGAACCAGCAAAAAAGCGCTGTGGCAGTTGTTTTTTCTGGCTGGCTTTACTGCACAACGTGAGTGTTGTGTGGGAAACCAGCGTGCTGGGGTTTGCAGCTCTGGTTTTCTTTAGACTCTTACATGGTTGGTGATAAGACACCTTATTTCGCGATAACTAAAACGAAAACTATTTCGAAGGTCCAACGTTTTTCGCACTGATAGCAATGTTCCTGTTCAAGAATGTCTGATTCATATAAATTTGGTGTCTGCCCTTCGGTTCAGGCAGCCTCGCCCTTCATGCTGGGTAGGCCCAGGTTTTGTTTGGAAACATTTGACTCGTGTTTTTTTTCTCAATTTCACTCGTAAATCTCCACATTAATTCTGGGACTAGATCTTACTGGTCGACGCATAACTGTGTGTCTGTCTAGACTAACAGCTAGTTGAAATATTAATTTTATTGTATTGACGTAGTCACACTGGTCCAAAAGCACGTAGATGCCAACGTGCCTTGATATTTTGTAAATAGGAATTACAGTTAGAACGTGATGCAGCGTTTGAAAAGCAAAAACGCTTCAAACTGAAATTACCAAAATCACTCAGCAGCTATTCAGTGATTCTCGAATCCATATCAATAAGCAATCCAGCAGGCAATGGCAGCGATGGTCATGCATTCAAGAGTGGCAAATTTGTCATTCAAATGCTCGCTGGCACAATGTTAAATCGTTGTCCTGCTACGGAAGCTTTTTTTATTTCAGTTTTGAAAGGAGCTAGACGGCTTCGTCCATCAATCTGTGTTTTGCCCAGCTGATCGTAGAACTCGGACGCTCGAGTGGTTGGTCAACGCGTTCAGTGTAAATGCAACTTAGCACTTAGAGCTGCGTCCAGAGGCTCTAGTTATGAGTCCTGTAGACGACTTAATTCTCGCGAATCGCCTACAATTCGCGAAAAATAGGTCCTGCAAACAATTCCGGTAACATGTAAACACTTTGAAATTTATATTGAGATCCCACTGCGGTCGCGAAAATTAGAACTCGCGAATCATTTCAAAACTTCAACTTTGACCTAAATCACGAAATATTGATCCCGCTAAAAATAAGTTGTTTAGAGTATTTGTTTGGCTCCTGCATCCACAAGCAGTGTGTGCCCTCATCGCCGTTTTTATTACACAAGTTTTGGGTGTTCAATTTTAAGTATTTCTGAAAGCTAGCAGCTAAAAAGGTCGAGCTCTTGCTGGAAGGAAAGTGTTTCTTTCCTTCCTGCAAGTCTCGACACTTAAACCATCTTGACCTCTGATGTAGTAAAGTGGTTAGTTGGGCGAGTTGGTAATGATTGAACATGGTTAAAATTGCACACAAATAGAAAGGAACAGAGAAGAGGGTGGTATCAAAATATGTCACCAGCTTGTCTACCATAGTCGTTTTGTGTGTAAAATGTGCATAACAGAATGATTGCATAGCCTGACCCATTTTTCAGCAAGTATGTAAGGAGTCAGGATACTAATGTTATTATTGTGTCTCAATCACCTTTTGCTTGTTTCCTTCCAACCAGCGCTGGGGAGAAAGAATGCCTTGTTTAAATGAATGACGCAAATTACTTTGAGAACTTGCGTAAGATATGTGAGACTGTTTAACGGTTTTGTATTATTATTTTGATTTTATATTATTTTTACACAGGAAGGAAAGTGTTTCACGAGCAAAACAACTCTTGAACCATTGAACTGAATCTTCACTTTCTAGTAGATGTACCCTTTGCCCAACACTTTACTGATGTGTGATTTTCAGAATTCTCACTACTTCGGGGCTTGTTGGAGGTGCGGTGCTCCAGAACCCAAGCTGCTGTTTTTGCTCAAAGATATATGTCAGAACTTCACTGTACTGCATGCACTTGCACCTTGGTGTTGCAGTGCTTGAACGTGACTTTGCGTGACCTGGCGTAACCTCTCTTTATGAAGGACCGCAACAGGTCTCGACGCTTAAATGGGATTAGAGTTTTGAGTTGGAGCAGTGCTAGCCACTGATCATTTGGCAGCTCAAGATGTGATGAGACCGCCTTTCATCCGTGAAATGACAAGACAGTTGAGGTGGTCTATTGTGGCCGATGCATGTGCCTCATGGAGTGGGGGACACTAAGGCACGTTTCGCATACCCAGCAGTAATCTTGTCATTCCTATGTGACCTCGTGACTTTTAAGTGGTATGTGTGCCTTGAGTCATTATAGGGCTTTTGTTTCCGGTAATTTTATACTTCTGTTTTTGCCTGGTTGCCATTGCTTCTCACGGTTGGGTTTTGCGCACAAATTTAATGAAGCCTTGTGCAAGGAGAATGTTTTCTTTCCTTCAAAAGCACCTTTGTCGTGCTTCCACTGTCTGCTCATGAGAAAAAGGCATTGTGTTAAATTTCTTAGAGTTTGCTTTTAGCGATTGAGATGTGTGTTGCAGGGCTTTGAAGTATGAACAGTGTTTTGTTCCTGGGGTGTTTTTCAGCATCGCAAACTGATGCAAAGAAGTATTCGACAACATTGGGTTTGGAGCTTTCTTTTTTTTTTAAATTTCATTTCCATAAAGCTTAGGCTTCTTTGCACATGAGTGGTTGTTTTGAACTGTATTGCTAGTGTGGTTGCATCTCTCATCTTGTATGTTTTGTGCATGCATTGTCAAGCACTTCTTGGTAACGAAACCTTTCTACTTATTCAATTGTACTCGGCAAATTTGCATTGTAAAGTGTTCATCTGAAATCCCCTTAGGTATTTGATAATTTTAAAATACACTATTTTCAAACATTGCTTGTATGTTTGGGAGAGGCGGTCGCTTAGTGTTGAACAAATAAAAACCTGGCACGTGCCTCAAGGTATTTTCAACTATAAATTAGAACACTGCCAATGGTGTTGAAAAAAAGCAGGAAAAAAGTAATTTTTAAAAATCTATTTTTTTCTCGAGTGGAACTAAGCATATGTTTCGCTATATATTGTGCACGTTTCGAGTGCCTCGGAATGTGAGTGTAGTCAATGACTGCCGGAGCATTGATTTTCAATGTTTGGTGCTACATTGGCAGTTAAATTCATGGGAGCTTCCATCCTATATTTCATTCACCCTTGATCTGACAGTATGGTGGATGCCATGCACTCGCCGGACCAATCAACCGCCTTCCTCTCGTGACCTGACCCTGCTTTCTGCGTGTGGGAACTGGGCAGAAGCATGATCACGTTGCAAAAGAGAAATGTGGCCGTTCCAATGAGCATGTATGTACCACCGCACTGTCAACTTATATGGGAGAACAAAGCATGGATTCTTAGAAACAACACTAGGAGTTTACATGTGGCCCTAACAAACACCAAGATTTCTGTGCATCCATCCCCAACAGAGCAAGAAGTCCTGTCCGTTGCTGTGGTAAGCGGGCCCTTCGACTGCGAGGACTGCGCACTCCTGTTCTCCTCGCGGAGTCTCCTCGACGGCCACCAGAGGGCGGCGCACGGGCACGGAGAGGGCAAGCATCAGTGCCGTTACTGCACCTACTCGAATGACAGCGCGTCTAAGGTCATCCGCCACGAGAGGATGCACACCGGCGAGAAGCCTTTTGAGTGCCACTTCTGCGGTAAGGCGCTGACGCGCAAGACTAACCTCGTTGCCCATCTGCGGTCTCACACCGGCGAGAAACCCTTCAGTTGCCAATTCTGTGGGAAGGCGTTCTCCAAGAAGAAGAACCACGACTACCACGTTAGGACACACACGGGCGAGAGGCCACACAAATGCGGCCTCTGCCCACGGCGGTTTAGTGACCCATCCACGCTAAACAAGCACCGGCGGACGCATCCCACCTACCGCCCTTTCATCTGCCAGGAATGCGGTCGGATGTTTGCCCGCAGGGAGACGCTAGTCGAACATGGTGCCATCCACTCTCTTGCATTGTGCTAGCTGCATACTCGTTTGTCGTCTGCTTGCGTTCTGTTGTGTTCTTATTTGCTGAATCTTCATGCCGGGTGTGTTAGCACACTTCAGCTTGGAACATGCTAACACATCTGGGTATTTAACCCTTTCCTGTGGCCAATACCCTTCCCTGCCCATTTTGATCTGGTTGAGCATCGTACTGGCAAACTGGCAAGCGGTCGTGTAATCACTGCTGCACGGTTCACGTCAAAGACCAGGTCAACAATTGTACTAGCCTAATCTGTAGCGCAAACTAGTTTCCCCATACACAGTGACTGCGCAAACTACGCCGAATGGCTTACCCTGCTACACCCTGCTACGGTTAGCCAATATGTAAAAAATATGTGGCAACATTTTTATTTTTTTTTATTAAGCTACAATATACTGCAGGCCATTTCCAGGCCAAAGCGGGGTGGGACAATATAGAGTGACACTGCAGACAATTTTGCAACCTAAACATGATTTTGACTTTATGAGTACCGAAAATATAATAGTTCAGGCCCCGCTACACGTCCAGATTGTCATGGTAGGCTTTTGCGTTTTTTTTTTAAACTTGCGATTATTGTCGCAAATAATGTAATGTTCAATTTGATCTCTGTCGAACACTGACAATATTCCGAATTTTTGCAATATCGAGTCATGTTCACTGTCTGCTCTGGCAGGGAAGTCAGCTTTGTTGAGTGTGCTTCTGACCGCATTCTTGTGTACGGCAGTGAAACAACAACTGCAAAGTAAGCATTGCAATTTTGCTAATCTTGCTTTGCTGCAGTGTACCTGCATGCTAAGAAAAAAGCACTCCCTCAAAGTGGGATATGTTAAACACTCAAATGTCAAGTATAATAAAAAAAAAAAAGGGGGGGGGGGGGGGGTGGCGGGTGGAGAACATACTAATGTAACAATTCTGCTTTGCAGTAAAAATTCCTGAATAAAACACAATGTTATTATTTATGATAGACTATGATATATTCTGGCGATATCTTTTTCAAATTCAATATTTAGCAAGGGTACTGTGAGAAACTTTGAGTAAACTGCTCAATAGGTTTATTCTTATTTTCAACCTTCTTGTTTCATTACCACCTTTATATAGGTTTTATGTGTTTGAGGTACAGTCAGTGGAATGAATTAAAACCAAATTAGATAAAGGAGTGGAAGCAAGCTTGGAAATAACCTTAACCAGTTGGATTGTTTTTAAAACGTATATTTATCATTCACATGCCGATTTTTGTTATAAAGTTCTTTGTATAAAGTGTCATTTATATTCATAACCTAATGATAAAAGGTTTTTCTAGTCCGAATTAAGAATTTTAATTTTGTTACAACCTTTAGAACCTGAATGAAACATAAATTTGTGTGCTCAAGATTACGCTGTTCTAAGATTATTTCCGAGGAATCTACTATTTAGTTTCAATTTTCTTTCATACCCACAATAACCACTGCAGTCCCTACTGTCCATCAATCAGCATCTTGTTGCCATGCCTAGCACTTCTGTGTGCAACCAAAGAGCTAGTTCTGTATTTGAGGGAATCAAACCTGCCATGCAGTTGATGCTAACAAAAGGTTGTACAGTAGGCATGTCTTTTAGTTGGATAGGCCTGCACACAAATCTTAATATATAATATTTGCAGTGGTATGAATAAAAACAAAGTGTGCGCTTGTGCTCCAAAAGTACTTTTGGCTTCTCCAAAATAACTTGGGCCAATCACATCACTGGATACATCAAAGCTAGGCTGACCGTTCAGTGTCCGGATGTTGTAACTAGACCAGTCGCAAAGATCGCAATATGAGTGTGAACGCTTCTCCGCTTGTCGCCGCAGAGGCATGTTCACGCTCATATTGTTTCCGATAGTACATCTGATATGCTCCTCGTTCCCGCAGCATCTTCCCCACGACACTAAAGAGAGCGAAAGAGGGACTCTAGTGCAGTTGCTTTCTAGCCCTTGCCCGCTTGCCCGCACTTCCTCATTGCCTCCACGGCCGCCTCTGTTGTCTGCTACAGACAGTTCCCTGCATTCCTTTCGATGCCGCGGAGGGCACCGCACACTTTGCAAAAGGATCATTGGACACTGCAATGTTCCTTTTTTTGTTGTGGGGGGACAGTACAACTGCAGTGTCTTACTTAGATGTGCATCGTGCTATAGTGATTACACAGCCACGCGTCCAAACTCTTTGCATCGCGCTGCTTTTGTGTTTCCGTCTTTCGTGCTAGATGTTGTAAATGTCTTGTGGCGTGACCCAGATTTGTTTTGAACATTTGCTCTGTTTGAATGTGTTGTGGCTGCACACATTCCTGTTGTTGGGACTAGTTGTACACCGTGACAATCTGTTGCAGGTCTAGGTTAATTTACCTGAAATGCCATAACTGAGCAGACTTCACCAAAGCAGATGCACGTGTCCTTTTATTTTTATTTTATGCACTACTAACTGATTTTTGTTTTGTTTCCTCTTTGCTGTGTCTAAAGCCACAGTCTGATTGCTCATTCATCATTTAAGAGGCGTGGTGTTCGCTACAGGGATGATGACAGAATTAATTTCAAACAGACCTCGAGCACGCTTAAAGCACGTTCGTTTCATACTGCTTATTGCGCAAAAAAACGCTGACTTGGAGAACCGTGTCTTTTTTCTTTCTAATTTTAAAAGCTTTTTTTCGGAGCACTTCAATCGATATTTGTTAGTCGCACGTCATACTAGGATTGGAGATGTGGCTTTCCAGTGAAATTTGTAACAGTGAGCTTTTGCTCGATGAAGATTATAAAATTTATCAGAAAGGGTGAGAGCGTAGCGGAGGCGGAGGTGTACTCGCTGTTAACAAGTACTTTCACGCTGTTCCTGTCGATTTAAATGCCAACATTGAAGTGTGAAATTTTCATTTTTTTTATGGCCTGATTGGTGTATGGTACAGACTGCCACAAGCTTTGTGTTATTTTATTTGTGATCTTTGTATTTGCCTCAATGATGTTACTTCTCGTTATGCCGCATGTCCCGCATTTTTCAGAGGTGATTTTAATTACCCAGGCATTGACTACTTTTGACTACTACTACTACCTGGATGTAGAAATGCCTCTGGGGATCCAGACTTCTTGAATGTTTTCCACGCACACTGCCTCAAAAAGGTTGTTTTTGAGCCTACTCGAAGGCACTTCATTCTAATAAACTTATTTTCAACGACTGTCTCTAAAACAATTAAGCGTGTGAATGTTCTCTAGAAAATCAATGGTAATAAAATGGTTTTAATTGAAGCAGATATTGTTATTCAGCACCCCCTAATTAGTGTAAAGTAATCCACGACTATTCCAACACCAAGGCTGCCGAAATTGGCACAGCTATGAGCAATATTCTTGCGTATGCAGCAGGTATGTCGAAGAAAATTGGATGACCTTTAAAGATCATTTCTGTGTTCAGCAACTTGGTACCAAAGATCAAAAAGCTGTTCGACCCGCAACGTTTGTGGTTTTAAAAAAATGTGTGTTTTTATGAACAAAGGCTGCAAGCTTTAAGTTGTCGGAGCGAGGGTCCATCACCATGTTCAAGGGCCGCTACCGCCTGCCCGAAGTGGACACAAAGTCCGAAGCGCGCACCAGCGCATAAAGAATAGATGGGTCACATTGGCCCATTCGTCTGGGCCCGCATCGAAGCGGTGCAGTGCGGTTCGTTGTACAGGGAAGGCTAGGGGGGAGAGGAGAACTTCTTTCTCTTCACACCAGCCTTCCATGTAGTAAAGTGGAAAGAGCTTACTGCACTGCACGGGTGCGGTGTGCTTCGACGAATAGGGACCGAGAGCGCGGAGACGTGTAGGTGAACCCCATGGCATTGTTGTAAATGACTACTAACAAACCATTCCTGTTATACTAATAAATGTGGTTTCTTGTTTTGGAAACTCCGGCTTCGTGTTGTTCCTCCAGGATGGGCATGCAGCAAGGCAACCATTCCGTAAGGTCTAGTCACCAATCGTTCCAACCTGAGCTCGGTGTTCAGACGTCCCGGCGCGTTCTCGTCTCCTTCGCTCCCCCACTTCCTCACTGGAAACATTATGCATAGACAAGAATGGTCTAAAGGGTGGCACTGCTTTCACGTTGGGAGGTGCGAGCATGAATAATTGCCTTGCTCACGCCAACGCTTGTGAAGAGTTCGATTGCCAACTTTAGTGACAGGCATTTTTCTGGCTCTGTTCTCAGAGAACAATCACTTTTCACTTTAGTGATGTAGCAAAAAATATGGAACAGGATTAAGCATGAAAACAGCAGACGGAGCAACACATTTGCTATCCTGTCTGCTTTTTTTATAACAATATGCTGACTACAGGAAGTATTAGAGATATCTTAGTAGCTTGAGAGAAATCGCAAAGAAATGTTATAGTAATACTGGTCACAATGCAGGTCGGCATTTCAATGTTACAGACTGCAGCAAGGTAGGACGAAGTGAGCAAGTAAGTTCCTTTTTTCTTTTTCTTTCACAGCTGGAATATTCCGATTATGGATGTAATCAGCAACTATCAGAGTGGAACGCTGTACGTAAGTGTGGCATTATCCAAGGCAGTGCGATATTGGTATTAGTAACTGACTTGTCTCTGTAGATTAAAACAGGGGTCTCCAAATGTTTTGGCTGAGGGGCCAGATTGGGGGATATGTCGCACCCTTGAGGGCCAAGAGATGAAGTGGATTCATTGCAATCCACTTATAACGATACCCCCAAATACAATATTTGATACCAGATATAACGATCAGTTTCTAGAATTCCTAGACAAGAAACGCTCAGTTTCTAGTCCAGACACAACGATAATCGGTTTCGAATGAATTTTCGAGTTTTCTCATCATTATTGTAAATGGAGCTTGCACACTACATAAATGCCAAAAAAGCTAAATAATTCGATAACCATTTCGGTACATTATTTCAAATTATAATAAAAATTTTAAAAAGCAGGTGAATAATGTTAATACTTTATTTTGACTAAAGGCCCGTTCACACTCTTGCGACTGCTTGCGACCTCTTAAACCTGGGTTCCTTAAAACTCCTTAAACCAGAGAACACACTGGCGCCATCTATTGGTAAGCAGTGTAAACTCGGCGGTCCGGCATATTTTTTTTTATTTCTCGCGCAATATCCTTTCTTTTTTGGCTCGAAAAGCTTTTGTCAATGTTATAAACGAGCCTTTCTATGGGTATTACGCACATTTGACCTCGGAAATCCCGCAAAACCTTCGCTTTTGTGAAATGCAGTTCTAGGTTCACCGCATAGATGGCGCCACAATGTCAGCGTGTTCCCTCATTCTAGAAACATTTAAGAAGTTGTAAGAGATCTCGTCTCTCTCAGTCGTACTCGGTCGCAAGAGTGTGAACGGGCCTTATGTTCCCTCATTCTAGAAACATTTAAGAAGTTCTAAGAGATCTCGTCTCTCTCAAGGCCCATTCACACTCTTGCGACCGAGTACGACTGAGAGAGACGAGATCTCTTACAACTTCTTAAATGTTTCTAGAATGAGGGGACACACTGACATTGTGGCGCCATCTATGCGGTGACCCTAGAACTGCATTTCACAAAAGCGAAGGTTTTGCGGGATTTCCGAGGTCAAATGTGCGTAATACCCATAGAAAGGCTCGTTTATAACATTGACAAAAGTTTTTCGAGCCAAAAAAGAAAGGATATTGCGCGAGAAATAAAAAAAAATATGCCGGACCGCCGAGTTTACACTGCTTCCCAATAGATGGCGCCAGTGTGTTCTCTGGTTTAAGAAGTTTTAAGGAACCCAGGTTTAAGAGGTCGCAAGCAGTCGCAAGAGTGTGAACGGGCCTTCAGTCGTACTCTGTCGCAAGAGTGTGAACGGGCCTTCTCACACTCTTGCGACTGCTTGCGACCTCTTAAACCTGGGTTCCTTAAAACTTCTTAAATCAGAGAACACACTGGCGCCATCTATTGGGAAGCAGTGTAAACTCGGCGGTCCGGCATATTTTTTTTAATTTCTCGCGCAATATCCTTTCTTTTTTGGCTCGAAAAACTTTTGTCAATGTTATAAACGAGCCTTTCTATGGGTATTACGCACATTTGACCTCGGAAATCCCGCAAAACCTTCGCTTTTGTGAAATGCAGTTCTAGGGTCACCGCATAGATGGCGCCACAATGTCAGTGTGTCCCCTCATTCTAGAAACATTTAAGAAGTTGTAAGAGATCTCGTCTCTCTCAGTCGTACTCGGTCGCAAGAGTGTGAACGGGCCTTAACACGTTTAGCTATGACATAAAAAAAAGACCCAGAAAACACACAGTGGTAGAACTCAATAAAAATATGCAACATTTGTGATACAAGACACTAAGCGCAATTTGTACATGCGACGCAAATAAATATTAACACGTTAAAATGACGTAGCCCTAAGGTAAGGGCAAACACTCAAGGAGGTTAATGGGCAGGAGGTGGCGTCCCTATCCCCAATGCATGGAGCGAAGTGTAACGGAAGTAGGCGTGGCCACGAGCCGCAACGAGCATTTCCTGACCAATGGGAAGCCTAGTGAGTGGGCGCCGCCATTAATTTCGGTGCAAACAACCGCGTTGCGATGACATTTTTATGGCAACGCGACTGTGTGCACCGAAAGTAATGGCGGCACCCACTGTTGTTTGAAACAGCGCTTAACGGGAGACTTTTAAACCGGTATGGTCGGCATTGGATGAGATTATTATAAACGAACGCCTGGTTGCCCAGCAGACAGTAAGTGACTAGAATTGAGACGTTCTAGAGGACGCACCGTGAAGGACTTGGCGGCGCGCAACGCATTTTTTAATAAACAGCAGCAGCAGATCGCACGAGCGCGCATGCAAGCCAGGAGCGCACAGAACAACGGGCTTGCGCTTCCAGTTCTGACTTCGCTCGCACATAATGTGGAACTAAGTATAAACACTCGCGCTGCAAAGCATTTGCATCGTGGACGCCCACGGCGGACGCCGACCGCATCGAAAGCTAGCCTCGTGAAGCACACGCCGGAGCAGATTAGAAAGCAGACGAACCGCCGGCTCTATGCCGCCGGTGCGCTACCCCACGGTGCCCACGGCCTCGGAACGGGTGCGCAAGGCAGTCTGGGATTAAACGCCTCTTCCGGTTTCACTCAGGCTGACGTCATGCCGGGTCCTGTCTGTGACGTACTTGGCAAACACTGGTGATTATGGCGATGACAATATGTAATAAATATAGCACAAAACTAATCAAACCTGCGGGCCGGTCAGAAGGCTTCCGCGGGCCAGATCTCGCCCTCGGGCCGTGAGCGAATGACATTTTAGCGAACAGCGACTTCTGAGCGAATCGACGTTTTAGCGAATAACGGGTACGCGCGTTAACTTTACGCCGCTTCGCCGCTTCGCGGCGACAGTCTGCGGCGGCTCATTACAAAAATGTAAACCCACTTGGCCCACCCGAAAACGCCGCTTCGCGGCGTCCGACTATTCGCTAAAGTGTCATTCGGTGAAACGTGGGCGTTCGCTCAAACGTCATTCGATCAAGTGAGTGCCTCCCCTCCTTGTCTATCTGTTCCTGTCCCTTCCACTTGCGGTTCATCCAGCTCTCCACCCAGTCTGAAAGCGAATTATTGAACGATCACGGCCTCCGACGATCCGCGTTCGGCGCTGTCTCTTTCGGTCACGGTGACCGTGGCGTCGGCAGTTGTGTCAGTGAAAGCGAATTTTTGAACGCCCACCCACCAGTGTATTCACCAAATAAAGTTCTGAACACGAACACTAAGCACATAGAGCACTCTAAAAGAGAGCTTGCAGAGTTATCGGCTGCTTAACTGTTTGAAAACGGTTCAAGGTTCAAGCTTCAAAGTGTTTAATGGCACAACGCCCCCGTTATTCGCTAAAACGACCATTCGCTCAAATGTCGCCGTTCGCTAAAATGTCATTCGCTCTTGTGATATGGACCCCAACCAGCACAACTTCCACGCAGCCTAGTCAGCCGAGTGCCTGAGGCAGCCAAAAGGCAGAAAGAAGCCCGTACTGCCCGTACAACTAAGTGCTGGCTGCCTCCTCGGCTGTGTGTTAACAGGTGAAATGATTATGATGAATATACAAATCCACGGTAACCGGTTAGAGTGTTCTCTGTGTAGCAGTTTCTTTAAAATTTGCTGACTCACTACAGCCTGAAAAACGCGGCGCGCAAAAACAGAACTACAACACGCGAGTCTGGTTCCTAGTCCTGTCCAAGTCGAAGCCTATCCAAGCCAATTCACACAACAATGGCGCCAGTTGGGTTGACGGTGGTCTGATCGTCTGCGATTGTGGTCTGCGTCTGGTGTGCGTGACATGAATGCATGATGAATGTTCGATGTGTGCAGTATCATACACAGGGGGCTATGGTGGTACGTTGGTGGTGTCAACTCTCGTTCCCGCAAACAGGAAAGGAAACATTGCAGTTGTGAGTCGATCCTGTCGACTGCAAGGGAAGCTGCGAACGGTTTTCTTGCACGAGCATATGAACATGCATCGCGCTAGCCGCTTCCAAAGTCGTGCTCATTTCTTTCGCTTCTTGAACTAGCTTTCGAGAACCGGTTGGCTGGCCCGGGCGGAAGGCTTTGCATTGTGAGCTCTCCTTTCACTGGTGTCCGACTTCATTTCACCGTAATTTAAAGAACAACGCTGTCAAAGCTGCTTCCACGAGCCTGTGCCTTGATTTAGCGCTTGATTCGCACGCGCTCTTGTGCAGTGCGCTCGTGCCAGTGGCTTCGACAGTTGCACCCCCGCGGCCATTATGAGTTGAAGCATTCGATCTGATCTTTTTTCAGCGCCTGCGGTCCCCACAAACTTCATTATCTTTCAGTTTGTCAGATAATCCGAAGTATGGGGCCTCAACTTTGCATTTTATTCCTAGATTTAACCATAGATTGCTCAACAACTGACAGGCATGCCTAAGAAGCACGAAGGACTGTTTCACCTCATACGGGGTGTCCCCGAAAAAAAATTTACAGGGTGTTCTTTTTTGCCGCAAAAATAAATTACGCATCGCCGACTGCTCATTTTCTGCCCAAAGGTGGCGCTAAAGGTCCGAATCAGATGCCAAAGTTTCAGCACAAACCGATATTTTATTCAAAAGTTGCGAGTGATTTTATGATATTTTCAATGGGAAATTAAGGCACATTTTCGCCCGTTTTTGGTTTCTGGCGCCATAGAGGTCCACGTGTTCGAGACCTGCGTTGGCCATCATTTTCCCAATAAAATGTTTTGAAATCGCATAACTTTTGAACAGATATTGGTCGGGCTGAAACTTTGGCATATGATTCGGACCCCTAGCGCTACCTTTCAAAGGAGAATGAAGGCTCGGTAAAGCATAGTTTATTTTTGCGATAAAAAAAGAACATTAATTTTTTGGGGCGGATAACCTGTACATAGCTTGCAAGCATCGCCTTTGCTGGGTATTGACGGTCATTTCTACTTGCTGGTTTCTTTTAACTTCAACTTCTGTGGTGTAAAGAAATACCGCATATGAAATACCGGCATGGCTGCAAATGACGTCGCATGTAAGCTGTGTGGTGACCTCTATAGTACTCGTAACTATGAAGTGCTGTGGAAAAAAACATAGAAACATGGATTAAAAGCACTTGATTAAATTATCCTGGGATTAAAGCCTCCGAGCTTAGGTCCATACGTAAATTCAGAGAGAGAACAGCAACGGACAAAGACACATGAGCCCAACTTGCAACATCTGTTTACCTTGAAGCATGTTTTTTACGGAAGAGAAAAGAGAGGGAGGGGGACAGGAAATCATACTGCTCTTGAAGGCATGCTTTTTTGAAGCAGAATCGCAACCAGTACAGCGAGTTAAAGAGGATTGTAGCATTGAATGTAGTTGATAGCCCAACCCATACACAGAAATATTTGTTACAGCTTGCATGCTGTAACAAAAATTACAGCATGCAAATGCAAACAAGTGGCAAGATGCATGTTCAGCCCCCCATGAAGCCCCTAAAGTGTTTGAAGCATGATTCAGAACATAGTCTTTAATTGTTCTTGACAAAAATTGGGGTTCATTCTTTGAGCAGTATTAAAAGTTTGATTTCAGTGCTTGTGCCTTGTCTTGGTGAGACTTGGCACAGTCCATTGCTCGTTTTGCATTGTCCACCCGACGCAGCTAGTGAGAATATGATTTTGCGTTATAGTCTTCTGTTATCGTGTACTACAATCTTTGACTGCATTTTCGCCTTGCATCGGCACATTGCACCATACTAGTTTTGACAACAGCATTTCATCCACAGAAGAAGTGCCTACCAGTGGGAAAATCCGGTGAAGGCACATTTGTGCTGTGTCCAGCTTTAGAATGGAAAAGGGCAGGGGAATAATTGGTGTACATCCTTTTTAAGCTTGCTCCTTAAATGGCTTACCACTTGTCTCGATTATATTTCATGTATCATTTAGTGCAGCTTTTACAGTTATCCCAGGATGGACTGCAAGACTGCTGTATCTCATCTTGAAGTAAAACCTTGGATTATTGCATTAGGGAGCACTCTGGCAAGTTCAATCAAATACAAAATGTAAAAAAAAAAAATTGCAAAAATAAATTTTACATTGACAAAATTTCAGTTTCTACCCAAATGTAGTGCTAGCAGCCCAAACCAGATGCAAGATTTTCAGAATGAACCCTTTTATTATTAAAAAGTTATAAGTGATTTTCGGAAAGTTTAATGGCAAGACGATAGCCTACAAAACCCACGAATACATAGGGCTAAATAGCACAAACTACCAAGAACGGGCACTTTTTTGCCTTTGAAACTCTCAGAAAATCACTTGTAACTTTTGAAAAGTTATTGGTTCTGAAACTTTGGCATCCGGTCCAGACAGTTAGCACTCGGCTTTGTTTGGCTTTGTTTAGTTACTCGATTCTTTGTGCTTGCATATGTTTGGAAAGCGACATATGAACGATCTAATCAACTCTGGAATGCTTACATGTAGACTGGTCGGTACAGGATAAAAATACATGCCGGGGAGCTGGCGGCATGTTTGGTACCCATCTCTCTTTCTTTTTTGCCCAACCAGGAGTGGGGTTTGGTGGCAGAGTGTATTAACGCACCACGTCTCGTAGTGCGTGGAGCGAAAGCTTGTACTGCAGAACCCAGGGATCCTGCGTTCAATCCCCACCCTGTCTCTTCCAGGGTAAATGAGCATCATTCCGGCGTGCAGTTGTGAATCACCACTGTGTGGAGAAGACCCCAGGCTAGCAGTTGTACCGCTCGGGCTAAGTTTCTCATCTACATTTCAGACACCAGACGCCCATGGAAGCTGACTAACTTTTAGCTTTCTTACCATACCCACAACATAATTGTTATTTATAACCAGCAGTGTGATATTTGGAGCTTGTTTTCATCATGCTTTTTGTGGAGACTGATAACCCTACGTAAAATCTTGGGGCGAGTGACAGCAAAAATAAATGTGATGGGAAGATTGTAGGACGCAAAGAAGAGCTGCTCTTGTGAAAGAGCCACGAAAATGTGGTGCTGAAAGGGTCGATAAAAGTATAACAAAGAAGCGCTGTTAAAATTAAAAGCGCTATAGTGGCAATACTAAAATCACTCTAGCTTCTATTTTAGTTAACAAATTCATGAAGACTGTCTATTTGTGCAATCAGTCGTCCTGGTTTTCTTTTTCTTTTTCAGACTTTGTACTACCACTTCCGGCTTTGGTTTCACGTCAATGGCCCTGAGGAAGCCGAAATGTATTTCTGCGCAATGAACTGCCATGGAACCTTGGCATCTCTGCTTTGCTGCACTTGAGTCAACATAGCTTAAATTGTCATACCTTTTCGCTTACTGGTGGTGATGACCTCCTGAATGCCCCATCTTCGCAAGTCTAGCTGTAGCACTGTTAGTTGGGCTGCCGCATCTTTGTAAAAAGTGCACGATCCGGAATGTATGAGCTTCATCGTTTGTCCGCATTCTGTACATTGAGTCCGGTTGATTGCATATATGTTACTAAATTCTCTCACTGCCAGGATACTTGTTTTATATAATCATTGCTCTCAGCTTTTTTATTCACGTGCTAAGCAATGCAGTGCGGAAGTTTGTCTGCTTCTTGCACAGGAGTTGCAATGATGTCAGAGCGCTGAGCTCTTATTGACTGACTGACAAAAAATAGTGGGTAGCTGTCAAGGCATCTAGCATTGAGGCCTACCCGCTATCCTTCCAGTCAAAGCCAATCAAAGCTCGGCGTTGTTCTGAGGTCACCGCAACTCCTGCGCAAGAAACAGACGACTTCCTCTCCACATAGGTTTCATTTTATTTTCTGTATGTATGTGTGCATATAAATGCAGTGTAAAGACGGAGTCATTTACACAACATATTCAGTGACATCAGTAGCTTTGTCATAAAAGGTGGCTGGACACTTTCTACTTTTTATCATTTCCTTCTCTTCCACATTTTTTACCTCTATCCATTCTCTCTCAAGAGTATTTTGATTTAGATGAAAACAATTACGATTATTTGTATAAAGGTCTGATCTATTTTCCTTGAAGCAGAAAGTGCACGGAGCCCTACCCTCCTTTCTTTGTGCCTTTACTTTTTATCATAAAAACTTGAGAGAGGAGAAAACTCTGAGGATGTTTTGCCCTGCAGAAGATGGAGGTTGTGCATCTGCGTTTGATGTTTGTGTCGATATCCCTGCTGGAGCAGATTGTCTTGCTGTTCTCGAGTCTGCTTTTATCGGACAGAATGTGTACTGCACCACTAATGAATTTCACTGGATGGTGGCACATGCAGCTTGTGCCAGTGTTGCATTGATATTGGAAATATTACCATTTTACGGTAATGCATTTTTACAGCTACGGTGGTCTTGCAAATTGGCCTGCAGGGAAAACTAACCATAGAAACAAGTTGACCTAGTCCCCCTTTGTTTCACGAAACATGACTGTGGTGTTTTTGCTGTTTTCAAGTGTTCTATTAGGGAAAAGAAAATGTGATTTCCGACACTCCTAGAATGTCTAAATTGTTTCACATTTCCCATTGCCATGCATGCCAACTTTCAGTGCTTAGCTGTGTGGACTTTTCACTCAAATGAGCCGATTTCTCATTCACATCTCAGAAACACAAAAGTCGGTTTCAAGGTTTCCACTCAATCAAACATGTAACATCAAGAAGTAGTGCTCTGAGCATTTTGTACTAGGGTGAAGCACATTTTCTAAATCGAGCTTAGTCTATTTAGAGACATTGTCTCTAAGGAAGGCAAAAGGGAAGCTGAAAACTATTTGGAAATAGGGTGAATAGAAGTGGTCTTGATTGCAATGTAAATCAAGCTGAGATTGGGCTAGAAAACGAAAATCAAAAACGTAAAAGACGAGAAAAACAAAAAAGTTGTTTCAAACGAAATGGAGTTTTGAACATTGTCTATCTTTTTCTGTTCTCTTCCACTTTTGAATCTTTTGTTGCTGGAGTAAGAAATAAAAGTTAAGAAGTGGAAGAAATGATAACAAGATAGACACAAATGCTTTACTAGGGGGGAATACATTATACTCTCCTATTAGACAGAACAACGGCTGCACCGAATTCTCCCTTGGTGGAGTGGTTTATTTGGTGACGCCCTTCCCCCCACTCCCCTTTCCTCTCGCTGCCAGAGCACGTGACCAGGCAACACCTCGGAATGCAGTGCCTTTGACGGGGTCGCTGATGCGAAGACAGTACCGCCGCTACCGTCGCGAGTGTTTCTGCAGTTCTTTGTTGTAATTTTTTTTTCATGTATTCTTAGGGAGTGTCCTGTATTCCCCCTAGTAAAGTATTTGATAGACATCTCAAGCTTAAGCAAACTTGAGGCACTCTCGGTGGTTTTTTTTTTTTTTTTGTTTCTGCCACTTCCATTTTTTTTTAATTTTTTTACTTTCTGACCCAGTCTCGGGCTAATTTACATGACGGTAAACTCTCACCAGCTTGACTGCACTCTGTCTTTTCGAGAATCTTCCGTCCCTTTTAGAAGCATGCAACGTCTGCAAACACCGGTAACGAGCGGGCTTTCCTCCTCGTATTTTCCCCCACAGAACCCAAAGAGACGGTACGCGCCGTAAAAGTCGAGGTCTCTCGTTTCGAGGACTGGAACACCTCATGGAGCGTTCAAGAGGAGGGCCACCGGAGCTCAACTGCACCTGAGGGCAGGGCGGAAGGTCAGTACCAGTGCTACTTCTCTCCAAACCCTCACAAAGTCGCAGCTGTGGTGGCCCAACGTGAAAGTATGCCCGAGGGTATGGCGGCCCTATGCGAGAGGACATGCAGGGCTTCGAGCGCTTCGTCTGCGAGCTGTGTGGCAAGGTGCTCTTTAGAATGGGGCCTTTGAGAGACCATCTGAGATGTCACGCCGGAGAGCGACTGTTCGAGTGCGACAGATGTGTGCGACAGTTTTTGTTGGAGTGCAGCTTGAAGAGGCACAATAAGACGCACGCCTGCCAGAGGTTTTCTTTTTTTACTGCTATAGCAATCGTCGAAATTTTGCGGCAGGTCTCAAGGTGTGTTTGTGTGTCTTTTGTGGCCCGCTAAATTTAGCAGTGAATCTCAGCGTCACGTGACAATGTTTCATCTCAATTCATTCGCTAAATATAGTGGGAACGTTTTCGTGACATTACGATACGATTTCCCGGTGTCGAGTGATGTCAGCATCACATGACCAGGTTGTTTGATGTCAAATGTCAAAACATTGTCATCACATGACCCCACATATTGAACAGTGTGTCAGCTCTCGCAGCAGTTCCCTTGCAAGGCAAAACAAGGAACCATCAATTTGTTTTTCTTTCCAGAGACTAGGACAATTGAAAAGTGTTTGTCTGTGAGCAACCTCTTTTATGTTTGTTTCTCTGTGAGCAGTCTCTTTTTTGTTTGTGTGATGAGACCGAGAAAGGATTATTGCGAGTGATAAGAACTGCTGGTGAAGGCATGCGGCGTAACGAAGGGCGCGATTGCTTTGAAAGTGAGTCACTGTTGTCGAAACAAGTATGTCGAGTTATGACACCCGGAAACAAAAACTGCAATTTGTGCTGCTGAACGTTAGCAGTTGTGCAGTCTTGCTTACACGTAGTAGACTAATTTACTTTGCCCATTCCATTGATAGCATTCTTAGGCCCGCTTCAGAGGGGGCACCTTCTCCCATCAACTTGACGTCACAAAACCAGCAACACGGCCCGCCCGTGTTCACATGCAGCAACCAATTTCTGCAATTTGCTACAGTAAACTTTCGTTAGTTCGACCTCGGTTCATTCGACTTTTCGTTTAATTCGATCCTGTTCAAAAGTCCCGGTGAATGCCCATACATTTCTATGGGAGGAAAAGTTCGATAGTTTGAACTCGGGACGACTCCGCATCGGATAATTCGTCTCGAGCGAATGCGCGCGGGCTCATATTGCACGGCACCACGGCAGGAAAACCATGAACGTACGGCAAAACACGGGCCCTTTGGTGCAAAACCGAATGTGCGCAAATATGCGCCTGCTCCTCTACGCCGTTGAGATGGTCCGTAGCGAATGACACGAGCCGGCGCAACCAATTTGGCATGGAGTAGCGCGGAGAACATAGCACGTGGTCGGGCGCGGAGACAGCACGCGCTCTCAAAGCGCTTTTCTGTAGCATCGTGTGTGGTCTATCTTGTGCGCCGGAAAGCGCGAATTCCCTGTTCCTTTTCTTTTTGTTGTTAATTTTTTATTATTATTATTTATTTTTTTTAGTCGCCGACAGTTTGGTTTTTCGGTGCCAAAGTCGCCTTGTAAAGCTTTCTCAGTGCGCGCTCTCAAAGCGCTTTTCTGTATCTTTTTGTGCGGTCCATCTTGAGCATCGGAAAGCGCAAATTCTCTTTTCCTTTTTTTGTTATTTTTCTTTGTCGCCGACGGCCTGGTTGCTCGGCGCCAAAGTCGGCTCGCAAAACTTACCTTCTTTTTTTTTTGCAATTTTTTGAGAACGTGACGTTTAGTTACGCTGCTCTCCGGAGCATGCTTTTGGACAGGCGTTTTAAAGGGATACTACAACGAAATTTCGGCGCTCATTTTTTGGTCTATATGTGTTCAAAAAAGCAGCATCATATCAAACATGCCAATATCTTGTTAAAAAAAGTCTTGAAAAGGAATTTTAAAACGAATTAAACGATTAGCAAAGAGCACCTGGTGGATGTCGCTAACGCCTCGCTTGTAATGCCCGTCTAGGAACCTTGACAGCTAGTGACGGAGGTTGTCTCGCCTCCGGCCACGACGAAAGAAGAGGGGAAGGAGGAATTCCCCTCTTCCCTAGAATGCCTTTTGTGTGTCTCAGAAGTCGCTATTGTCCCCCTACAAGATTACAGAAGATTAACCCGTCACTCAAAATTCGTACAAAAGTAGCCGCTTCGGTGGCTGGAACAACTAGGCTATCCTCTCGACGTCAGCCTCGCCGTAGCTTTGCTCGTCCTGAGACGACCTACGTCACGATTGCGTTGGATATCACGTGGTCTCCGCTGGGCCTTTTCCGAGCGCTTGCCAGAGTGGGCCGTTTATAACGAAAAATACAGCCACCAGGATCAAAATACAAAGGTGCGATTGTCATTTACAGATTTTGTGAATCATATTCAACCTATTTTTGAACACGACGGGAATATTTTAAATTTCGTTGAAGTATCCCTTTAAGCGCAGACGGCAGCAGACCATTCGTGAATACTTTGAACAAGGAAGTTTAATTTTAACCGTTTTTCTCTCCTTTTTTTAATTCAATCATTCGAATAATTAGACCAAATTTGAAAGTCCCGTCGAGGTTGAATTAACGTAAGTTTACTGTATCATCATTGTTACATCTTATTTTTCTTGCACTATTTAGACACAATTACGTGCTGTAAACATGTTTTTATACATTTAAATGGCGTTGAGAATACAAATTCATCTTTCTGAGACAGTTTATTCCCAAGAACGATCAATTTCAAACCGGAACAAAGTATTTAGTTGTCATCATCACGGGCTCAGGATATCACATGAAAATATCACGTCCCTGATTGGCCTGCTGTCGCTTTAAACGTCTTCGAATTGCTTCGAGTTGCTTGCTTGTTTCGAGCTGGACCAGATCTGAGCAATTTGTGTCGATCTAGGGAAAGCTAGGGAACAACCCACCAGCAACCCCAAAATTTCTCACAAAGTGGCCACGTCTGAAGCAGGCCTTACTTCGGGAAGGTTGCATGGTTGAAAAAGTATGATAACGCTTGGTCACCGCAAAATCTCGAGCCCACTTTCTTTTCTCGATCTAGCGTCGGTTATTCAACGGTGGGATCGCCACATGTGCGACTTGTCAACAAATGAAAATGTGGCAAGCTTGTGTAAAATGTATGTTTGCATTTTTTTTCCCTCCCCCAAGTTTGTCATAGTGGTAGTTTTTTTATTTCAGCCCTAATATCGTTGAAGAGATGCCTTAAATGTTTGCATTCTTTTTTTATGTTCTTTACTTGCACCTGTTATGTGTATATTTGTGTGCTGTGCTTTTAAAAGTACACTAAAGCCAATTTTGACATTGTATTTCTGATGGCTCTCACACGAATAACCCATTTCACAAAGCGTAAAAATGGATGAATTACTTGCGCAAGTGTCCCGCTTGTATGCATAAAATGCAGGAACAATTCACACCATTTGCATCCTTTGTGATAAGAAACGGAAGTGGAGGCCGTGGTCTCGTTCTCAGGAAAGTTCTGTAGCATCTGTCTTAGCCTTAACTAGTTCACACGTTTGTGTCTCAATGTGAATGACAGCATTTCAATGCTTGTAGTCGCTTACGACGAGACCACACACTGGCCCTGCCCATCAGGTACCCCTGGAACATTCCTGGTTTGCGTATTACTAGACTGAAGGTTTTACAGTATTTGCAAAATCCAATCAAACCACTCTCATGAAGCTGCAAGCGTTTAATATTTTGCAATGTAAGGTAGCTGGTTTGCCTCATCCTTACGAGGAGGTTTACCTCACAAGGAGGCAGACCAACTAATGTTTGTTCATCTCTGGCTTCTGCATACTTTCTGTGAACGCAGTGAATTACTTTTCTTTTAAATTACAACCCAAATATACTTTTCTGGATCCTGGTGTGCAAATTGTTTTGTAAAATTTGGTTTCAAGAAATATTTTGCATTTGGCAAGTTTCACCAAAGTCTGGTCTGGACAGAGTAAGTACACGTGAGATTTAAGTTAATGTTTTACTAAAGAAACACTAAGGGACTGTGCCGATGATTTGTTGAATTTTTTGTTTATGGATAGGCAAAGATGAGTGAATTTTCTGTTTATGGGATAAAAAAAGTCGAGTTCAAGGTTGAACTCTTTGCCCATGGTATTGAAATGGAGTGGATATGCAGAGCTTGAAGCCTGTTCCATTGACTGATATTTCCTCAGAACTGCGTGTCGCAGTCCTGTACAAGGTTACAGATTGTGTCGATATTAGAATGTGCTTGCTCCTTTACGTACAAAGAAAAGGCTGAGCAAATTCAGAAACATGCAGCACAGCTTGTGTCAGGCAAATATGATTCTCTGATAGCTCTTCCGATCCATGTGGTAAGTTGCCGGCACCTACCTCGGGCTGCATTTGGTTTATAACTAGGGCTCCGTGTTTTCGGATAAATCCGAAAAACTCCGAAAAACGCCCGTTGGTAAAATATTTGTCAATTCGGATTTATCCGATAAACTCAAAATATTTATGTTTCAATGCCACTCCCCCTCCCTCCGGCAAAAAAAGAAAAGTAAACAACTTTTTTTTTTTTTTTCTTACAGTTTGATCAGCACAGAGCCAATTCAATGGTCCTGAAAAATTCCACCGTAATTATTTTTCAAATCTCGGATCGTTGTCAAAAGGGGTCTTGCTGCTTGTCTGTTCAAGGTTTATTCAGGGCAACAGGTCGTTCGTTGTACATTCGGGTGACGACAAAAGCCACTCTTGGTTTGCAGTTTGGGCCACGCGATTTGTGATTTAGAGAAAGGAGAGGGTATGTTTTAGTAACAGTGAAAGCTATGGACCATAGGGATTGTATAAAATTAAGAAGAGCGGCAGTTCAAACTCTCTATTACCTCCTTAACCACTCCACCTCGTGCGGCCGCGGGCTAGATTGATGGAATTGGATGGGATGACTACGAGCTTCCTATCGACTACCTCCGGGAGTTTATTGATTTTAAGGTATCGGCGTTTACCGAAGCGCCCCTCGTGTGACTTTTGTCGTGGATAAATGAGTATCGCCAATGGCAGTGGCACCAACGCCAAATTCAACTGAAGGTTTTTCAGTTGAAACAAGCGCGTTTTATATTTTATCTGGCATACGTTTACATTCGGTTATTATCTATTTATTTATTTATTTTTAATAGAAAACACAGCGAAATTAAACTCAGAATTTCGGAGAATCGAGAATAAAAAAAAATATGAACTCCGATAAACTCCGAAATACACCCTCCGAATTGGGCGAAAAATAAACTCTGAAAACACGGAGCCCTATTTATAACATATTTATTGGTAGAGCTGGCATCAACGGAGAACAATACGTCGAAGAGACTTAACCCGTGTGTCCCCCCTGCACAGATCATCCTCTGAAAGCGTGCAAACACATGTGCAAAAGAAGCGTACGCTGTTAAGCTCACTGTCTTTCCGCGAATGGTACATTATCAGAACAAACCGAAATTGTTTCTGCGCCTTCTTCCTTTTTTTTAACTACTCAATGAAACTTGAAACAGTTACTGCATTCCCATCTTGATATACACCAACGTGCCTTTTACAAACAAGTCGTTTGCCCACACCACACTGCGCGTGCTCGGAGGCTAAAGCCCCTTCATGATTCAAAAGTAGCGCAAGGTGCGTCGATGCACGAGGCACATGCAACGTGCAGTCCTTGGGAAGATCATGGCGGCACAGCGCAGCACTGAGCTAGATTTCAGACGCCATGAATTTCCCAGAAGTGGCGCGCGGCACGTGCCTCGAGCATTTCTACAACAATGAATGGAGCCACTTTTCCCAGGATAGAGGGGCTTTATCGGAGGCAACACCGCCTAGCAGACAAGACCGTAGTGCTGGCATTTTTGCGTCGCCAACAAAGGCCCTTGCTGGATGCAGATTGGTAATGAGGGCTGCATCAGCACTCGACTTCGAGTCAAGTTTGAGCCGAACGTGGACGCAATCCTCCTGTTTAATTTGTTCTCAACGTTTGCCTTTGCTGATGACGACATCTCTATCAGCACAACGGCTTTGTTATCTAAAAGGTGTTGGCAGAAGCCAAATTTGCACGAGGTAAAGCATCTTGTTATGTGCAATGCCGACAGCAGCATCGCAGTGGCGCGACGTCAAAGAGCTGAGCTGGTGTATAGTTATGTTTTTTGTTTACTTTCGAGGACATAATTGTCTTGGGTTCCACTTTACGAACATACTCTTGTCATTCTTTCTAGAATGTTATATTTGTTAATACTATTAAGTCTTCTGCATCACATAATAATACACAGTGTTTTCTTTTATAGTCTCATTTGTCCTTTTTTGTTGCCCGATACTGCTAAGCCACAGGACGTTGTGAGTCCCGACAGAGGACACGGCGATTCACTTTTCTGTAAGGTAATTGTGTATGCTCGGCTTAAAAAAAGCAGAGCAGCACAGTAGTCTTTCACGTTGATCCAAGTTCAGCGTTGCCACAACGATGCACCGACGCTAACCCTCCCCCTGGGAGGCATGCACATGCGTGTTGCGTCGTCACCCCGCTTGACCTCAAATAATTTTTGGGCCCGTGATCCCTTCTCGGCCAACGAGGGATAGGCGCCAAGAGGAAAACAGATGCAGCACTCCGATTCTACCATTTAGTTACTCTACTTTTCCCCGCAGGTGCCGAAGAAATGTCCCTAGTCGCGGTGCCGCGGCAGAACTTTGGCTGCGGCATCTGCAACCAGCCATTCCCGTCCCGGGAGCTTCTGTTGCGGCACCGCAGGAGGGCGCACAACCGAATGGACGGGAGGGTAGAGTGCCGCTACTGCTCCTACTCTAGCAACCACATGGCGACCCTCGACGCCCACGAGAGAAAGCACACGGGCGAGAAGCCCTTTGGCTGTGGGACGTGCGGGAAGACATTTACGCGGAAGAGCAGCCTGAACCTGCACATGAAGACGCACATGCAGCGCAGGCCGTTCGGCTGCGACTCCTGTGGCCGGAGGTTCACGCAGAAGGTGCACCTGATCTGCCACCAGCGGCAGCACACGGGCGAGGCACCCTACGAATGCGACCGCTGCAAGATGAGGTTCAAGAACTCGTCGGGCCTCAGGTCGCACAAGATAAAGCAACACCCCGACAGTTAGCTCCGTTTAACATTGTCGCGAGCTTATGGGCAGGTTTTTGCTGGTTATTTAATGTATTTGAGTGCTCTTTTGGGCAGTTGGGATTCGGATTGTTGATGTATCTTGGAACTTGGTAAAAGAAGAAAAACCTGGTAGTCTCGGATTTGTTAAGGGGTCACTCGGGAGCTTTTAAGAGGTTCTCGAGAATGTTCTTGAGTGCACGGTGGCACACCTTTCTCGCAGGTTTGTGTTTTGCCTGGCATATTCTGGACTTGAATATTGCTTCGTGTGTCCGCTCGACACCTAGATGGTAACAGGGTGGTAGTTCTGGACTCCTTATGTCGCCTACACGGGCCAGTGTAGGGCACAGCTTTGGCACAAGTGCTGGGTCAGCGTTCGGCTGGGAATTGCATTAAAATCGGGGAGGACAAGAGTTTAAGCTGACGCGAAACTTACGGTCCAATCCGTGCACTACCCTGGCCCGCAGAAATTCCTGCTTTTTTATTTTTATCTAAAAAGGGGCCGAGTTTCTTTCTTTTGGTGTGCTTGTTTTCTCGACTATTCACGCCACTAAGGACACTGCACGCTTTGCAAAAGGTTAGTTGGACACTGCAGTAGATATATTCGAGATACTTTTGAGACCGGTTATAACAAAGTCGGCTATAACGAAATAGCGGCTACAGCGAAGTGATCACGATTTCCCATTCCCTTTTGCACTTTGTTAACCGAAGTCGGTTATAATGAAATAGCGGATATAGTGAAGTGATTTCCGATTCCCGTTGACTTCGTTATAACCGGTCTCGACAGTATGCGACCCTGGTTCAACGCTGTTGAGCATAAGTTAGACAGTACAGTACAACTGCAGCGTCTAACTTAAACTGGTGTGCATCATGCAGTAGTGATTACACAACTGCTGTTCCAAACTCATTGCATCCCACTGTTTTCATGTGTGCGTTTTTCATGCTAGATCTTGTAGGTGTTTCGTGGGCTGACCCAGATTTGTTTTGGATGTTTGCTCTGTGTTTGAATGTACTGCGGTTGTATAAATTCCCATTGTTGGGACAGGTTGTGCACCATTGCAATCCGTTTCAGCTTTGGGTGAGTTTACCTGAGAGTCCAGAAATGAGCAGACTTCGCCACAGCAAACACGTTTGTCCTTTTATTTTAGACACCAGTAACTTTTTTCTCGCTGCTATGTCTAGAGCTCCAGTCATACTGCTCATACATGGTCAAGAGACGCGGTGTTTGCTGCGGAGATGATGACAGAAATGTCTCCAGACGAACCTCAAGCACATTCAAATGTTTGCTTCATACATATGTATGCAACTTGTCTGGAGACCATTTTTGTATGACCGATCTAATGGCTGACCATCATGCAGTGATGAAGCTTGCCTCAGATTATCTTTTTGTATGATATGAGCATTGTGACCGTGGCTTAAGGATTGTTGAGTCACTGCAGTCATTGTAGCAGTACCCTAAGCATTATTTAATTGACGAACGGAAATGTAATGCCTCATGCTGTGCTTAGTGCCACATCATTGTAACAAATTCTTCTACCTGATGCATAATAAATGGTGTTGAATGAGAAGTACACGTTTGCGTTGGCAAAAGGCAGATTGTTTTATGTCGTAATTCCACCCGAGACTTGGTAGAGCGACGAGAAAAGCTTTGAAAGTGTTAAGTGGGAAAACATGGGGAGGGGAATGTCTCAAATTCTAAAACAAACAATACTAGTTTTCTTGTTTGAGAATTTTTCTGGTGTCTTTAAGAACCATGAATAAGCCGACTATAATTATTTACAGTGGAAACTTTATGCATAGGCAAGAATGCTCTAAAGCAGGGGTGGCTCCCTCCATAGGCGTAGACTATGGGGGGGCAACGGGGCTCGTGCCCCCCCTGGTGAAATCTGAGGGGGGGGGCAGAGCCCCCCCCCGAGCCCAGGCCATGATCCTTACCGAGACGCTTTTTACGTGCCATGTAACGAGCTTCTAGTAGCGGCATGTAAACAAAATAACGCACATTGCCTTTATTGACAAAATACATGGGAAATGGAATTCCAGCGTGTTTTCGTTAGCTTCAATCTCCAGTTCTGGTGAAAAAATAACGTGCAGCACCTCCCCCCCCCCCCCCCCCCCCCCCCGGAAAAATAGAAAGTCTACGCCGCTGGCTCCCTCCCATATCCCCCCCCCCCCCCCCCCCCCCCACTCCCTCGCCTCCTTCCCGATCACTCGAGCACTTGCGCAAAAAGAGAAATGGAACGCGTTTTAAATCGAAAGACAGGTTGCTTTTAGGTAGTCTTGTGCTACTCCTGCCAGTTGGACTCCTTTTGACTCGGATAGATTGGAAGTAGTTCGGGTTTCGTTTATTGCCCTGGACGAAAGTTTGCCCCCCCCCCCCCCCCCCCCCCCCCCCGCGGCTCTTGGCAGTTTTATAATCTTGTTTGCGGCCCTTAGGCCGGGTCAGCTTGGCCACCCCTGCAAAGGGTGGTACTGTTTTCATGTCAGGACCTGTTAGCAAGACCTAATGTATCCTTATTCAAGCCAAAACTGCAAAAGAGTTTGATTGCCAGCTTTAGTTATGGGCATTTTTTTGGTTCCCTTTCGAAAGAACTATGTGAGGAATTTTACTTTTTACTTTAGTGATTTGGCAAAAAATATGGAACAGGATCAAACATAGAAATAGCAGTACCAGTACCATCCTGTCTGTTCACTACAATAAGTATGTGAGAAATGTATTATAGCAAATTTAAATCGTAAGGGAATTTTGGCTATAATGCAGGTTGGCATTTTCGATGTTAAAAATACTAAGTAAAATAGTCTTGTTTCTTTCTATTTTTCGCAGTTTTCTTCTGCAAAAAAAATTAGTCTGTGTATGTGGAAAAAAAAAAAAAATTAAAATGTTTGCGTGCAGCCCGCGCAGCCGACACATCGTTGTTGCAGCCGGGAGGCACTCACTTGATCGAGTGACGTTTTAGCGAACGCCCACGTTTCATCGAACGACACTTTAGCGAATAGTCAGACGCCGCGAAGCGGCGTTTTCGGGTGGGCCAAGTGAGTTCATATTTTTGTAATGAGTTGCCGTAGACTGTCGCCGCGAAGCGGCGTAAAGGGCAGCGCGACGGATGGGTTAACGCGCGCCCCCGTTATTCGCTAAAACGACCATTCGCTCAAATGTCGCCTTTCGCTCAAATATGTCATTCGCTCTTCTGATATGGACCAAAACTGCATCTCTTTGAAAGCCAAAGGAAAGGCACTGCATAGTTATCGGTTGCTCTGCCAGAAAACGTTACGTCCACGCGAACCGTCTAGAGTGTTCTCTGTGTTGCGGTTTTTTTTTTTTTAATTTTTGACTGTGTAGAGACTACAGCCTTAAAAACGCGGCGCACTAAACCAAAACCAAAACACAGGAAAGTCTGATCCCTAGTCCTATCCATTTGGATGACTAAAATCGAAGTATACATCCAAGCCAATTCACACAACAACAATGGCGCCGGCAGTTTACGCGTTTGAGAGTTTGGAGTTCGGATCCTGGGCGTCTGCGTGGCGTGCGTGATAAGAATGTTCCATGTGTGCGGTATTCTGGTGGTGTCCTCAAACTGTCAACTTTTTGTTCCCGGAAACAGAGAAAGAAACAATGACAACGCAGTTGTAAGTCGCACCGGGCAACGGGACTACGTTCTCGGTGTCTTGCTTTCATTCCACGGACTGCAACGGAAGCTGCGAACGGTTTGTTGCACGAGCACATGCGTCGCGCTAGCCGCTTCCAAAGTCGTCAGTTCGTGCTCATATCTTTCACTTCCAGTACTAGCTTTCGGGAACGGGTTCTATATTCCATAGTATCAACTCGGCTTTGATGTCGCTGACCTGTAATAAGGCGGAGCCTCTTCAAGCTAAAGGGGTGGTTTACCAAATGGGAAGGATTTTCTACTCCGCGCGTGTATCACTGGTGCGCGTGTTAACCCAAGCCTCCCCTGAGCAGTCTGCGGCGGCTCATTACAAAAATGTTAACTCACCTGACTTATCCGCGCACGCCGCTTCGCGGCGACCGAATTCGCTAAAAGGAGGCTCATCGCCATTTTCTCTAAACTTGGTTTCTTTATGAAGGCATTCGATGAACTGGGGTCGGTAAAACGGCGTTCGCTAAAACGAGCTTCTCTAAACCGCATGACTCCGTACCAAATGACACGTGGATGGATGGATGGATGGATGAATACGGCTGAGCCCTTTGGATCGGGCGGTAGCTTACGCCACCTAGCCATTTTGTTTTACCATTTAAGCTTAGAATATTTAAATGTGAAATCTATATTCACTCCGCAGTGCAAAGAAAGTGAGGCTATGAAACCCCCTTGCCATCAGTGGATAAGAAAATACCTAGTTTTCTCTCGATTTCTGCCACCATTCACTTAATCTTTGCTTGGTAATCTCTACAGTCTTGAAATCCACTCTCCCTTCGCTGTCTCTAAAACCCAATGACTTTATTAAATCTATGTTGTCTTCGGTAGGCATAGGGTGAAGCCCTTTACAGTAGAGTATCAAGTGTTCAGCCGTCTCGTCCTCCTCTCCACAAGCAGTGCACACTGTATCAATTTCCTGGTACTTCACTCTGTATGTTCTGGTTCGCAGAACACCCGTTCTTGCCTCAAACAGCAATGAGCTTCCCCTAGAATTGTCATAAATGCTTTCTTTGGCAATAACTCTTTTGTTTAATCTATAGCTTTCCAGAGCCGTCTTTGTCTGCATTCCCTCTAGCCACCAATCTCTTTCTGTGGCCTTAACTTTCTTCTTAACTGAGACTTGCTCTTCCGTATCTTCGCTATAGCCCAAAAATTTTCCTCTTAATTTCCTAGTGAGCTGTCTCCACTTTGTGTCTACACTCCTCATGTATAAATAGCTGAAAACCTTTCGTGCCCATTGCTCCCCGTCCATTTGCCTCAACCTATCCTCAAATTCTACCTTGCTCACCGCTTCCCTGCTCTCAAATGATGCCCATCCCATGTCTCCTTGTACTCCCTGGTTTGGCGTTTTGCAATGTGCCCCCAAAGCCAGTCTACCTACTCCGCGCTGTTTTATTTCTAGTCTCGCATGCACTTCGGATTTCATGCATAGCACTGCGTTTCCAAAAGTCAAGCCAGGCACCATGACCCCTTTCCAAATCTCTCTCACCACCTCATACCTGTTGTAATTCCAAAGTGCTCTATTTTTCATTACAGCTGCATTTCTGTTGCCCTTACCTATTATATACTTTTCATGGTCTCTGAGATATTCCGCACCATCACATATCCATACTCCTAGATACTTGTATTTACTAGCTCTCTCAACTGTAATATTCTGTATCTTCAGCCTCTCAACTTCATCCTCGTTAAAAATCATGACTGCCGATTTTTCGCTACTGAATTCTAAACCTAATTCCTCTTTAGCGTTAGCGAATAGTTGGGCGCCGCGAAGCGGCGTTTACAGGTGGGCCAAGTGGGTTCACATTTTTGTAATGAGCCGCCGCAGACTGTCGCCGCGATGCGGCGTAAGCGCAGCGCGGGGAGGTGGGTTAACGCGCGCCCCCGTTATTCCCCCGGATGAGGATTCCCCGCCGACTTCGTTCCACCGTAATTTAAAGTGCAGTCTATGCTCTCTTTCATGCCTTTAGTGTGCATATATCGCTGCCAAAACTGCTGGCACGGGCTCTTGTGCTATGCTCTCGCGCCAGTGGCTTTGGCAGTGTTACATCCCACGGCCATTATGAGGTGAAACATCCTAACTGACCTCTTTTCTGCGTCTACAGTCCCACAAACTCTATTATCTCTCAGTTTGTCGAGTATTCCGTAGTATGGTGCCTTAACTTCGCATTCCATTCTTAGTGTGAACCACGGATCTTTCAAAAACTGGCAGGCGTGCCAAGAAGCACGAGGGACTGTTTCATCTCGTATATTATCTGCGATAGTACTCATAAGTACGAAGTGCAGTGAAGAAGACATCGAAACACAGATTAAAAGTGCTTGATTAGATTATCCTGGGTAACAACGGAAAGCCTACGAGCTCGCAGGTTTGTACGTAGTTACACGTAGGGAAGGAACAGAAATAGATGGGCGAACATGACTCCCGACTGGCATCACATATTTACCTCGAAGCATGGGAGGGAAGCATGCAAGAAAAATCAGCTTTAACAATGTACAGGTTACAGAAACAACATAAGAGAGGACAAGGATAATTCACGTGGAAGTCCTTTGCTCTTTGAGGCAAGAATGCAAGTGTTAAAGACAAAGACATAAGGCTAAATTTCAAGAGATAAACAGTATGTGGTGTATGCCATAGTCAGAGTGAGGCACTAGAACATTTGGTTTTGAACTACACAGGTCTTCACCCCACCCTCCCTGAAGGGGTAACGGATCTGCCGGGGCACTAGGTTTTAGTGGCAAACGTGGAAGATAGGAGGGGGAAAGGATTACAGTCACAAAGAGGAGGTTAGAAGATCGTTAGAAGTTATCCAGGGAAAATTTAAGTAAAACTAACTAGCACAGCTGGGGACGGATGGAACAGAGGACAATTCGCACCCCCATCCCGCGTGGCTCCGGCCCAAAGTCTCAACCCTGTCTCC